GTTGATCTATAGACATCGATCTGTGGTTTCTTTTACAGCCCGTAAAGACTGTCCCTAAATCCCAAAATTTTGCAGATTTAAATTTCTTTACTCCTCCCTATCTGATATGTTCAGACTGATCCGTTCTTCGAATTTCTGAGAGATTACATTTTCATGTGAAAAAATGATAATACTATGTGACAAAGATTTTCTTATTGTATAATAAAGAATTATGTAAAATTATGTGAACCAATGAAAAAACCCAACTAATGTAGAAACCAAATAAGCAGACTAGTAGCATTTCTTTTGTGATTCGACAATTATAAGGTAACTCATCCCATCCCCACTCCCGACAAAAAAATTACTTGCATCAGGTGTTTACACCAAACCTCTCTTCCTAAACAAATTCCATGATTAGTTCAAATTTGCATGCACGAAAAGCTTAAAACAGAGAAAATGGTTTTGTAACGAAAATTTCTCCAGTCCCAAACTAACATATACACTTCTTAATATACGTTCTAATAATGATCCATTAAATAATAGTCACTAGATAGATGACACCTTTTTTATTTTATCATTCAGTTTTCAGTATGCATGATTAAATCGTATTCATGCACAAGGCCTATATAAGGAGGAAGTTGTTTGATAACGATAATTAATTCTCTAATTCTAAGACTCTAACTCAGCTCAAAACCCTTGATTAAGAATGGTCAGTTTGCTTTGTCATAGTTAAGCAATTTAGGTCAATGCTAGAAGGTGGAAAATATATAGTTGAAAAAACATTACTCTTTAAAAAAGAAAATACATTCATTTGGAAGAGAATTAAAACTTGTTCAAGTGGGAATTCCAAGAAGTACAAGAGGTCATCTATAAAAGTTCATGAGTTGTTAAAAGTTATAGATTCAGAGGACAATAGAGATGAATCAAATTGAGTTGTATTGAAGAGAGTATTTTGGGTTATTGCCACATAGGGAAATACAAGTATTGTGGTAAGTTTATATTATTATTAATATCATCTATTTTTAATTTGGTTGTTATTTTGTTTGATAATTTGGTGCCTTGTTCTTAATTGGTATGGTTAATTTGAATTTGTGCCGCACACGATATCATTTAAAGGGAATCATTTCCTATTACAAATTTCTTTAGTCTTTGAAATATACAAAATATTTTTAGGAAGTATTTTTTTCGTTTATCTAGTCAGTATTTGAGTTATTTGTTCCCCAACATGAGTATCATATATAGATGAAAACAATAAAGTATCCTTTTTTTTGTTTTCTATTCTTCTTGGTAAAAAATGATAACATTTTGACACAAAATTTCTTATTTTATAGTAAAAAAATTTAGGTAAATTATGTGAATTGAAAAAAATATCCAAGTAACATAGAAACCAAATAAGCAGGATAATAAACTTTTTTTTCTCATTGGACAATTATACATGCCACTCCTCTGCCTCCCCTCTCAAGATACTTGCAGTAGGATACTTGCATTAGACGTTTACATCAAACCTCTTTTCCATTTGCTCTTCCTACTCTTTCTCTTCCTAAAAAACAAATCCATGATTAGTTCTAATTTGCACGTTAAACTTGTATAAATTAAAGACAAAGTGGTTCGATAACTAAAAATTCTCTAATCCAAAGACTCACATACACACTTTTTTCTTATCTTTTATAATAATGATCCATGAACAAATATTCACTAGATAGATGACACTTTTTTAGATTTATCAGCTAGTATTCAATACACACGATGCATGCAAGATTTTTCCCTATTAATGCACAAGGCCTCTATAAGGAGGGAATCTCTGTATAATAAAATTCCTTCTATTCTAGAACTCTAACTCATCTAGAAATACTGATAAAGGATGATGAGTCATCGACTTTGCGGGATTAAAACAATTTAGGTCATCACTAGAAATTGGAAAATTGTTTAAAAAGCATAAGTTTTTTAAAAAACAAAATATATTCATTAGGGAAAATAATTATAGTTTGTTCAAGTGATAATTATCTTAAGTACAAGAGGTTATCAACAAAGCTTTCTGAAGAAATAAAAGCTGTAGATTCTGAAGAAAATAGTGATGAATCAGATTTGTACGTAAAGCTTATACGAAGAACAAATAGTTCTTTGACAAAAAAGTTCTCTAGTCCTAAGACTCACATGTACACTTTTTCTTATTCTTTCTAATAATGATAAAAATAAGAGATCCTTGTAAAAAAGTTCTCTAGTCCTAAGACTCACATATACATTTCTTCTTATTCTTTCTAATAATGATAAAAGAAAAAGAAAAAAAAAGATCCTTGTAAAAATAGTTACTAGATAGATGCTTCTTTTTTTTTGTTTTATCATCCGGTATTCAGTGCGCACAATTATTTCATATTCCCGCACAAGTCCTAAATAAGGAAAGATTCGCTTCTTAATGAAAATTCTCCAACTCTAGAACTCGAATATAGCTCAAAATTCCTAATTAAGGATGATGAGTGGACTTTACCAGATGTCACGCCCCAAGTCTACACCTCGGACGTGGTTGACACTCGAAGACCATTGTTGGCCCCAAGCGAACCCTTGTCCTGGTTTACTTAACTCAACGGAAGACAATATTCATACTTATAATGATAAATAACACTTAACTGAACTGAATAATAAAATAACTGAGAATGTTTAAAGGTTAAACATTCAACTTGGCCAAAAGTGGCAACCTAAGTCTTAACAATAAGAAATGATAATGAAAAGACTCAAAGGACTAACATCTGACTGTCTATAAAGCCTCTAAAACAACTAAGATGGATGTTGGGACCCCACAACATCCTAATGAACTAACTAGAAAGCAATGAAAATAGATCCTCCGGAATGCAAGGAGGCTCACCGACTGAGTCTGAACTGCTCACTGGATCAACGGTGCGCTGAAATATCGATCCTGGTTACTTGTGTCTGCATCATAAGACGATGCAAGTCAACTGACATCAATACATTGAATGTACGAGTATGTGAGTTGGAATGCTAAAACAACATAGGCTTGAAAGGGTATCTGAAATAAACACTTACCTTGACTCTTCTCAACTCATGGATACTTAACTGAACTCATTTCAATATAAAACAGTTTAAAACAAGTGCAATATAAAGAAAAATTGTTTAAAAACATGATGTCAACTCTGTGTATATACAAGGATAAAACATAACTCTGAAATGTATGTAAAAATACAATAAACTGATGTATATAAAAATACAATAACTTCTGTGGGAGTTTCTCTAACCGACAATCATCACATAAGAGCTATAGTGATGATACAATGATCTACCTCACGCTGCCAGCGCATCTTATACCGGGCCAGAGGTATAGGACCTGAACTACTAAGTGGATCCACTAGTCTATTGTGAAAAGGGTTCATCTAAAAAGTATGACCCTTTTCTACCCATGGTGGCTACATGGTTTTATGGAGACATGAGTTATCTGACCTCATGCTCGCCCCCAATTCGATGCTCAATGCTACTCCCAAAATACACTAGCTCTTATGTTTTTTTTTAAAAAAATTCTTCTTCTGTGATTTGAGATTAGTACTAAAAAATATAGCTCAAAGGCTATCTTGGAAATCAAAGTTTCCCCTCTTGCTTCATTTAGAAATCGATTACTCTTTTTTGAAAACTAGCCCGAAGGCTCTTTGGAAATCTCAGTTTTCGTTCTTATTTAAATGTGAAAACATTTTAAATCTCCTTGGGAATACTTAATCCCCATATACTTTTGAAGAAATGAACTTCAACTTTACTCTTCACTGAACTAAAAAATGTAAGTCTTAAAACAAGGTTAAAACGTTTGCAAAAGACTTTTGGAAAACTTTATGAACTTCTCTTAACTTTGATCTTAACTTGACTCTTAACTGGTCCATGGATTGAAATATGGATTCAAGGATTGGGATTTGTGATAGGAAAGGTCTCATGATGTTTAGGAATGATTTAGATAGCTAAACATGAGAAAAGTCACGAAATCACCGTCTTGGAACAAGTCTGCGACGCAGAGATGCTTCTAAATAAATGGTCACAAAATTAAATATGAGACAGAGGAGTCTGCGTCCTCTCCGCGACACAGAGGAAATTTTTATACACAGAGGGAGCAAGTCAGCGACGAGGACCTGCGTGCCAGATCATGCTCGACTTTTTCCTTCTCCGATTTAAAACCCCAATTCACCTAAACTCGACTAGTATTCTCAAATTCATTTTAGACTCCGATACCCAACATATGTACTCAAGAACCTAATTCAAAACAACTCTAAAACTCAACGTAAAGATCTCAAAAACTCCTCAATTCAGCCCAATTCAAGAACAACATTCAAAATTAAGAATACATGTCAAGAACTTCAACTTTCAAACTCTTTTAGGATGAATTTCGCTAAACTAAACATGTTTGACGCATGGGTGAATGAACCCAACGCTATGAAAGACTCACATACCTTGTAAGATGAATTCCTTGGCGAATCCACAACCAAAATCGATCGTTCTTGCCAAACCTTGAGCTTTTCCTTTCCTTTGTCCTCTTTTCTCTTTTATCTAAGCCCTAGCGTAAATTTCCAATTGTTTAGACTGATATCATTCTAATTTTACCCCTTAATTAATTAACTAGAATGAATTAAATTAATTGAATAAGGAGAAGACTAATCTACCCTTCAAAACTCGGCAGCGTTGGAAAGATCATTCCAAGATCTTTCCAGCCATATATGGAAGTACACCTAACTCACCCGGAGCTAGGAGTTATGGCCGTTTGAAGTTGACCAAAATTCAACTTTTCCTAACTTAAACAAATTTTCCAGATTTTCATTATTTCCAAAAATGGGTATTTCCAATTATTAGCTTCTTTCTAGTTATTTGAAATTGCGAGATGTTACAATATCTCCCCCTTGGGAACATTCATCCTCGAATGAGATTACTCTTACTAGGATAACGGTGTAATATCAAGTTCAAACACCCAACAAGCAAATGCAACAAACAACATGCTCGCTCATAATTTAAAGAGTACTAAGAAGAAAATTAGTACCTTATTCTGCACTTTCTTCGGATTCAAAGAGATGTGGATATCTCTTTTTCATATCCTCTTCATCTTCCCAAGTAGCTTCCTCAACAAATTGGTTCCTCCAAAGGACTTTGACTGATGCTACCTCCTTTGTTCTCAACTTGCAAACTTGGCAATCTAGAATATGAACAAGAATCTCCTTATAAGATAAGATATCCTTGACCCCAATATTTTCTGTTGGTATGATCAATGAAGGATCTCCCATGCACTTCTTCAACATGGAAACATTGAAATACCGGATGAACCGCTGCTAACTCTTGTGGTAGCTCCAACTCATAAGCTACTTTGCCAATCCTCTTGGCTATTCTATAAGGTCCAATATATCGGGGACTAAGTTTCCCCTTCTTACCAAACCTCATAACCCCCTTCATGGGTGAAACTTTGAGATATACCCAATCATCTACCTCGAACTCCAACTCCATTCTCCTAACATCCGTGAAGGATTTCTGACGACTCTGTGCCGTTTTCAACATCTTTTGAATCACTTTCACTTTCTCCATGGCTTGGTGAACTAAATCTGGTCCTATCAACCCAGCTTCACCAACTTCAAACCATCCAATAGGAGATCTATATCTTCTCCCATAGAGAGCTTCATAAGGAGCCATTTGGATGCTAGAGTGGTAACTGTCGTTGTAAGCAAACTCAATGAGAGGTAGGTGATCATCCCAATTCCCTTTAAAATTGATCATGCACGCCCTCAACATATCCTCTAAAGTCTAAATAGTTCACTCTGCTTGCCCATCTGTCTAAGGATGAAATGCGGAACTTAAGTTCACCTTTGAACCAAACTTTTTGGAACGACCTCCAAAACTGTGCAGTAAATTATGCACCCATATCTGATATAATCAAAACAGGGACTCCATGAAGTCTTACCACCTCCTGAATATATAACCTGGCATAATCCTCTGTTGAATGGGTAGTCTTTACCGGTAAAAACTGGGTTGATTTTATCATTCTGTCGACAATCACCCAAATAGAATCATGCTGTATGCGAAACCTTGGTAAACTTGTGATGAAATCCATATTGATCATCTCCCACTTCCATTCGGGAAGTTCTATATTCTGAGCCAAACCACCGGGCCTTTGGTGCTCAACTTTCACTTGCTGGCAATTTGAACACTTAGCAACAAATTTTGCAATGCCCTTCTTCATGCTATTCCACCAATAAACCTCTCTCAAATCACGATACATCTTTGTGGAACCCGGATGAATGGAATATCTAGAGCTATGAGCCTCCTCCATGATCCTTTCTTGAAGTCCATCCACCATTGGTACACACAATCTACCTTGATATCTCAGTACACCATCTCCCCCTTGTTCAAAAGCTAATACTTTTTGCTTATGAACATTTGCCTTCAATTTAAGCAAAATAGGGTCTTGGTCTTGCTTGTCTTTTACTTTTGACACTAATGATGATTCAGCCCCATTCATCACCACTATTTCTTCTTCTGTGAAATTCATGAGTCGGACTCCTAAGCGTACAAGCCTATGCAGATCATTTGCTAACTCTCTCTTTTATTCCTCAACATGGGCGGTACTACCTATAGACAACCTGCTCAAGGCGTCAACAACAACATTAGCCTTACCTGGGTGATAAAGAATACTCATGTCATAATCTTTGAGTAACTCTAACCACTTCCTTTATGAGATTAAGCTCATTCGAACTAAACACATACTGAAGACTCTTGTGATCGGTGAACACATCCACATGCACACCATAGAGATAATGGCCCCATATTTTCAAAGCCAATACTACGACGGCCAACTCTAGATCGTGGGTTGGGTAATTCTTCTCGTGAACTTTCGACTGTCTGGAGGTATAAACTATAACTTTGCTATTCTACATTAATACACAACCCAAGCCAACTCTAGATGCATCACAATACACCACAAAACCTTGAGTGCCATCTAGTAAGGTCAAAACTGGGGCAATAGTCAACCTTTTCTTCAATTCATGAAAGCTTTTCTCACAAACTTCAGACCATTGAAACTTAACTGTCTTCTGAGTCAATTTGGTCAAAGGGGACGAAATAGATGAGAACCCCTCTATGAACCTTCTATAATATCCAGCCAAGTCCAAGAAACTCCTAATATCAGTTGGAGATGTGGGTCTAGGCCAATTCTGCACTGCCTCCATTTTCTGAGTATCAACTTTAATTCCATCATCGGAAACTATGTGGCCCAAGAACACCACAGACTCAAGCCAAAACTCACATTTCGAGAACTTAGCATACAACTCCTTATCTTTCAAAGTCTGAAGAACTATTCTGAGATGACTAGCATGATCTTCTTCATTCGTTGAATAGATTAGTGTGTCATCAATGAAGACGATAACAAACATATCTAAATAAGGTTTGGAGACTCTATTCATAGGGTCCATGAATGCTGTGGTTTCATTAGTCAAACCAAATGACATGACTAAAAACTCATAATGACCATAACGGGTCCTGAATGCTGTCTTTGGGATATCGCATTCCCTTACTCCTAACTGATAGTAGCCTGATCTGAGATCTATCTTAGAGAAACATGAAGCACCCTGAAGCTGATCGAAAAAATCATCCATCCTTGGAAGAGGATACTTGTTCTTAATGGTAACCTTGTTCAATTAACGGTAATCTATACACATCCTAAGGGAACCATCTTTCTTTCTTACAAATAAGATCTGAGCACCCCAAGGTGAGACACTTGGTCGAATAAAGCCCTTATATAGTAGATCCTTTAACTGCTCTTTTAACTCTTTCAACTCTGCTGGTGCCATTCTATATGGCGGAATAGATATAGGACAAATATCTGGAAGAAGATCTATACTGAAGTCTATCTCTCTCTCAGGAGGGACTCCGGGAAGATCATCTGGAAAGACTTCTGGAAAATCTTTTACTACTGGAACTGACTGAATATGAGGTACCTCAACACTTGAGTCATTAACTCGGACTAAGTGATAGATACACCCCTTAGAAACTAACTTTCTTGCCTTAAGGTACGAAATGAAACGACCCTTAGGCACTGCTGAACTGCTTTTCCACTCTAAGACTGGCTCATTTGGAAACTGAAACTTGACTACTCGAGTTCTACAATTAACTGAGGCATAACATGCATGAAGCCAGTCCATCCCAAGAATGATATCAAAATCTACCATGTCTAATTCAATTAAATCAGCCATGGTACTCTTATGATTGACGGAAATGGGACAATCATGATAGACTCTCTCTGCTAGAATAGACTCACCAACAGGCGAAGAGACACTGAATAGTTCTCTAAGTTGCTTAGGAATAGCATCAAAATTCATACCAACATATGGAGTTACAAAAGACAAACTCGCTCCTGGATCTAGCAAAGCATAAACAATAAAGTCAAAGACTTGGATCATACCAGTGATAACATCTGGAGAATCCTCTTGCTCTTGGCGACTGTTGATAGCATATAAGCGGTTTGTTCCTCTGCCAGTACCGGAAGTAGCCCCTTTAGGTGCAATTCTATCTGGTGGAGCAACTGAAGAAAACTGGGCTCTATTGCCCCCATTACCATTTCCCTGCTTGTTCTTTGGACACTCGCATGAAATGCCCAGTCTGACCACACTTGAAATAACTAGTAGAACCCTCACGACAAATACCTGAGTGGTTCCTATCACACTTGGCGTATGCATGAGGCTTACTACCCCGTTGTGCCACGCTACCCTGAGAAGAAGCAGGCTTAGCTTTGAAGTTCTAATTATTGTATTCACCTTTGTTTTTAGGTGCAGGTGCACTAGCAGATGATGGAGCAGGTCCCTTCTGTTTCTATTGGAAAGATGACCAGTTGGCACTACTCTTCTGCTGCCCAGACTTATTCCGTGTCTTGGCTATCTTGTTCTTAAAATCTTCTCTATCCCTTAGCTTCTCTTCCTCAACCTACTGCACATATACCATTAACCTCGATATATACATGTCCCCAATTAGCATTGCAGCCCTACATTCCTTAATCGACAGACGAAACAACCTAGCAACAAACAAGCTCATTCTACTCCTCATGTCCGCAACCATCTCCGGAGCATAACGGGATAGTTGGGTGAACTTCAACCCATACTCATGAACACTTAGCGACTCCTTTTTAAGGGTAAGAAATTCTCGTACCTTATCCTCCTTCAGTTCTCGAGGAAAGAAACTCCCCAAGAAAGCCTCCTCAAAATAGGCCCAACTCGCAGTTGGTGCATCCTCAGCTCTACCCTCTTTCCACTAATCAAACCAGGTCCTAGCAACATTCTTCATTTGATACGCAACTAGTTCAACCCGCTCAACATTAGCAACATGCATAACCTCAAATACCTTCTCCAGTTCATAAACAAAGTTCTCTGGGTCCTCCGAAGGGCTTGAACCAGTGAAACTTAGAGGATTCATCCTTAAGAACTCATGAATCCTTGAAGTATCATCTCATTCTGTCTATCTCCTCTTTGCTTCCCAACCTGGTTAGTCTCAGCCTGACTTAGCATTCTGATTGCTTCCCTGAATTCAACATTGGTAACTTTTCCTTGGGGTTGCACTTCAGGTGCATTTGGTAAATCTTGTTCCTCAACATTGCGTCTAGCAGGACGACCTCTGACAGCTATTCGAGGAGGCATAATTATCTGAAAACACGCGCAAACACGAATTAGAAGGAAACTTTTTAGAGATCAAACTCTAACGCACGAAATGAGTGAGAAATTTTAGTAAATATTGCAGCCTCGTAATTATAGATGTGGCGTGCTTCACACCAATAAATAGGACTCTACAGACACATGTTTATAGAATCCCTAGGACTCTTGAACTCTGTGCTCTGATACCCAGTTTGTCACGCCCCGAGTCTACACCCTGGACGCGGTTGGCACTCGAAGACCATTGCTGGCCCTAAGCGAACCCTTGGCCTGGTTTACTTAACTCAGCGTAAGACAATATTCATACTTATAATGATAAATAACACTTAACTGAACTGAATAATAAAATAACTGAGAATGTTTAAAGGTTAAACATTCAACTTGGCCAAAAGTGGCAACCCAAGTCTTAACAATAAGAAATGATAATGAAAAGACTCAAATGACTAACATCTAACTGTCTATGAAGCCTCTAAAACCACTGAGATGGATGTGGGACAACCCCAAAACATCCTAATGAACTAACTAGAAAGCAGTGAAAATAGATCCTCCAAAATGCAAGGAGGCTCACCTACTGACTCTGAACTGCTCATTGGATTAACGGTGCGCTGGAATGCCGATTCTAGTTACCTATGTTTGCATCATAAGATGATGCAGGACAACTGGAATCGGTACATTGAATGTACGAGTATGCGAATTGGAATGCTAGAACAACATAGGCTTGTTAGGGAATCTGAAAGAAACACTTACCTTTACTATTCTCAACTCATGAATACTTAACTGAACTCATTTCAATATAAAACAGTTTAAAACAAGTGCAATATAAAAAAATCTGTTTAAAAAGATGATGTCAACTCTGTGTATATACGAGGATACAACATAACTCTGAAATGTATGTAAAAATACAATAAATTGATGTATATAAAAATACAATAACTTCTGTGGGAGTTTCTCTAACTGACAACTATCACATAAGACCTATAGTGATGATAGAGTGATCTACCTCACGCTGCCCGCGCATCTTATATTTAGCCAGAGGTATAGGACCTGAACTACTAAGTGGATCCACTAGTCAATTGTGGAAAGGGTTCATCTAAAAAGTATGACCCTTTTCTACCCATGGTGGCTACATGGGTTTATGGAGACTTGAGTTATCTAAACTTATGCTCGCCCCCAATTCGGTGCTCAATACTACTCCCAAAATATACTAGCTCTTATGTTATTTAAAAAAAAAACATACTTCTTATGTGATTTGAGATTAGTGCTCAAAAACTTAGCTCAAAGGCTATCTTAGGAATCAAAGTTTCCTCTCTTGCTTCATTTAGAAAGCGATTACTCTTTTCTGAAAACTAGCCCGAAGGCTCTTTGGAAATCTCAGTTTCTGTTCTTATTTAAATGTGAAAACATTTTAAATCTCTTTGGAAATACTTAGTCCCTATATACTTTTGAAGAAATGAATTTCAACTTTACTCTTTATTGAAATCAAAACGTAAGTCTTAAAACAAGGTTAAAACGTTTGCAAAAGACTTTTGGAAAACTTTATGAACTCTCTTAACTTTGATCTTAACTGCTCTTGACTTGACTCTTAACTGGTTCTTGAATTGAAATATGGATTCAGGGATTGGGATTTGTGATAGGAAAGGTCTCATGATGTTTAAGAATGATTTAGATAGCTAAAAATGAGAAAAGTCACGAAAACACCGTCTTAGAACAAATCCGCGACGCGGAGATGTTTCTAAATAAATGGTGGCGAAATTAAATTTGAGACAGAGGGGTCCACGTCCTCTCTGCGACACAGAGGAAATTTTTATTCACAGAGGGAGCAAGTCCGCGACGCGGACTTGCGTGCCAGATCATTCTTGACTTTTTCCTTCTCCGATTTACAACCCTAATTCACCTAAACTAGACTATTATTCTCAAATTCATTTTAGATTCTGATACCTGGCATATGTACTCAAGAACCTAATTCAAAACAACTCTAAAACTCAACGTAAAGATCTCAGAAACTCCTCAATTCAGCCCAATTCAAGAACAACATTCAAATTCAAGAATACATGTCAAGAACATCAACTTTCAAACTCTTTTAGGACGAATTTCGCTGAACTAAACATGTTTGGCGCATGGGTGAATGAACCCAACGCTATGAAAGACTCACATACCTTGTAAGATGAATTCCTTGGCGAATCCACTGCCAAAATTGATCGTTTTTGGCGAACCTTGAGCTTTTCCTCTCCTTTCTCCTCTTTTCTCTTTTCTCCAAGCCCTAGCATGAATTTTCAATTGACTAGACTGATTTCATTCTGATTCGACCCCTTAATTAATTCACTAAAACGAATTAAATTAATTGGGTAAGGAAAAGACTAATCTACCCTTCAAAATCCGAATTAGACTTTCCTTAACCGCACAACCCAACTTCCAAAGGGGGATAACTCACTCATACGAACTCGGAGTCACGCAAACTCGGCGACGTTGGAAAGATCATTCCAAGCGATTTCCAACCATATCTGTAAGTACACCTAACTCACCTGGAGTTAGGAGTTATGGCCATTTGAAGTTGACCAAAATTCAACTTTTCCTAACTTAAACAAATTTTCAGATTTTCATTCTTTCCAAAAATGACTATTTCCAATTATTAGCTTCTTCCTAGTTATTTAAAATTGCGAGATGTTACACCAGATTAAAGCAGTTTATGTCAACACTAGAAGTGAAAAATAGTCGAAAAAAATGTTTTTAAAAAAACAAAAAAAATCTTTTAGAAAAGAATTATAGTTTGTTCAAGTTAGAATTTTGAGTAGTACAAGTGGTTATTTACAAAAGTTTGTTTGTTATTAAAAGATGTAGATTCAGAGGAAAGTAATGGAGAATTAGATTTAGTTTCTATTGAAGATTAATATTTTGATGATTACCAAATTGGAAAAACAAGTTTTGTGGTAAGTTTTTATTATGTTAAAATAAGTGCTTTCCTCATCATTTAGCAGATGACTTCACCACTCTCTTGGTCTGTATTCTGTTGGTGGAGCATCAACCTTTTAGTTTTACCTTTTATGCATTTATATACAACTAGAGGAGATAGTCCAGTCTCTTTACATTCCACAACTGTATTTTTATCACTATTTTCTTCATCTTCATCGTCTATGAATTCTAAATCTCTAGTTTCAGTGCTATCTATTAAAAATTAGTGCATCTTAAAGTTTTCTTTTACTGTTTTACTTCTACAGTTTACTAAGTCAAATAACCGTTCCTATATTTTAGGAATGATGAGCAGATTAATTGTTTATTAGGCTAGGAGTCTTATTTGTTAGAGTTATTGTAGGGGTTAGAATTTAATGCTTATTTTATATATAACTCTAAGTGCCCGCTGTAAAAGAACAGCGCTTCAATTCAAGCAAAATAAAGTTCTTCTATGTTCCATTTCATGTTCAACTGCTGCATTTATTCTTTCTTTTCTCTGTGTGTGCTTTTGTTTTATGGTATCAAGAGCCAGGTTGTTGGCTTGAACGTTGTTACCTTCTTCTTGTCTATCAAGTTTGTTAAGTCTTGTTGGAGGATATTGAAAGTTGCAGAGAAAAAAGTTTGTGCAGTATGGAGTAAGCAAATGGGGGAAATAGTTCAAATGCACAGTTTGGTGTCGAGAAGCTTGTAGGGACAAACTACAAGTACTAGAGAATGTGTATGGAGGCTTACCTTCAAGGTTAAGACCTGTGGGATCTTATTGCTGGTGCTGAAGTAGAAATTCCAGCAAATACTCCAGAAAATTCAGAACCAGAGAGAAAATAGATCAAATGTGGTAAAACACTCTTTGCTTTGAGAACATCAATTGGAAAAGAGCTCATCGATCATGTACGTGATGTTAGTTCACCAAAAGAAGTCTGGGAAATAGTTGAGAGATTGTTTACTAAAAAGAGCACGGCTAGGCTGCAATTATTGGAAAATAGATTGGCAATCCTAACACAGGGAGGCATGTCTATTTCTGAATATTTCTTACCAGTTAAATATATTTGTGCTGAAATTTCAGAATTAGATCCTGATGAGAAGATTGCGACGATTTCTTATTCGAGGATTGAAGAAGGAGTATAGTTCTTCGTCACCTCCATCGAGGGCTGGACAAAGCAACCTTCAGTTGAAGAATTTAAAAATTTTCTTTCCAACCTAGAGCCATTGGCAAATCAAATGGCAAGAAGCCTTGAACCATATGCAACTCTCTTTTCAAGGGAAAAGAATGAAAATAAAAATGCATCATTGAAAGAAAAAACAATGAAAAAGAATCAAATGGTGAAAAAGCTACTGGTGACAACTTTGATGATAGGAAGTGTTATAGATGCGGTAAAATTGGACACATCAAGAAATATTGTAAAGTGAAGCTCTCAAAAGCAAATATTGCAAGTGATAATGATGGAAATGAGAAACTCAAATGGGAGTAGCGCTTCACTATTGAGGTTACTGAATAGAGGAATGATGATGTTTTACCCGTTCAAGCTCTCTACAATAATGATAGCTTCAAACAAGAATGGATCCTTGATTCTGATTGCTCACATAATGTAACCGAAAATGATTCTCTTATTTCAGAGTTACGTCAACACGAAAGAGAACGAGTAGTTGTTACATAGGATAACTCGACATATCCAGTAGCTAATGAAGGAGTCTTGAAGATTGATGTTCGAGATACAGGGGCTGTCAAGTTGAGCGATGTATTTCATGCTCTAGGCTTGAAGAGAAACTTAGTTTCAGTTTCTCAAATCACTAATTCTGGAAAATATATTCTGTTTGGTC